AACAGTATAAGAAATCATGAAACAAAGGCACCTAAAGCTGTCTCACAAGAACTGAGAAAGGAGATTCATATTCTCTGCTCAGGTATGATGGGATCATGATCCATGCCACAATTAGCCAATAGGAGTAATAGTTTCAGAGGGACTTTCTGTTTTCATAGTAATGTATTTTACTTCAGTGTATTCAAAATCAAGACAAGTCAGTTCTTGCTGCATTGGGGTGGGGTGGGGGGCGAGTAGAAAGAATCCTTTATCTATTCTGATTAAGAGACTCCTAGACTTCTAACCTACCTGTATGTCCTATCCTGATAGCACCACAGAAAGGGACTGAAGAATTCAGACGGTTCACCAGAAAAGAGAGAAAAATAATAAACTCCCCAAACTATGGGGTGAGTTGAAGGAGGTGGGTTATTTTAATAATCATTATAAGTAAAGAGGCAAGAATAGGAGTCACCATTCCAGATTATTTCATAGTATTTCAGGCATGACAATGGATGTCAACTGAATTGATTGTCTACATCAGAAGCTGGATAAGGAAAATGCAATTAGACAGTAATCTTCAGTTTTAGGGTTTAATCATGTCCTCCTTGCCCTAACAATTAGTATTTAACAATTCCATGAAAGAGCACTTGTCTACAGTTGTCAATGATACCCAACATTTTTCTTCAAAATAATGGAAATTGCCCAGTAGCAGAATCAGAAGTTGATTTCTGTGATAGATGAGCAATCCTTCAGAAATACAGCCTTAGGAAGGTATTTTTTATTTGATTGGGGGATTCAGTTTTGGCATTCAGTATATACCCATATTTAGCCTTAAATCTGAATATACATCTTTGTATGATAATCATGACAGTTTTCAAAGAATGAATGCTGGAACTTCAATTGCATTAGTTTTAGGAACAGTTGGGGAGTGAGCACTATGCTAATATCCTATCTATAAGTATCAATAGATGCAGTACTTTATACGTACAAGTCAGCTCAACAGAAAATTTTCCAAGGTTGGTGGTGCAGCAAATGCAGCACTTAGACTTATATACCACTTCATAGTGCTTTAGAGCCCTCTCTAAGTGGTTTACAGAGTCAGCATGTTGCCCCCAACAATCTGGCACCTCATTTTACCCATCTCGGAAGGATGGAAGGCTTCAACCTTGAATCTGTCAGGATCGAACTCCTGGCAGTGAACAGCGTCAGCTTGTAATACTGCAATCTAACTACTGTGCTACCAAAACTCTTGGTTGATAAAAGAACATTGTTTGATGGAGTCCTTTCCCCCCCCCCAAAAAAAAACTTCTCTAGCTTAGACAGTTATTATAATCTTTAATTCAGATTTCTGCTATCACTTCTTTTCATATTGATCATTTGTTTCTGCATTTAGCTGAAGGCTGGAAAGCTTGAGGTGATATATGTATAACCTCTCCCTTAAAATGAAGTGAAAATGCTATCCTAGTGTCAATGAGGTAATTTAAAATTTGTTCCATTCTTGTTGTGTTCTCCACATAGAAAGGGAAGAGAGCATATCCAGTCCAATGCTTTAGAATAGCTCCAAGACAGTGGGGGAAAATAGGTTCAAACAGTATCTTGACAAAAGGAGAACTGAGTCAAATTTCTTGTGGGATGAGGAGAGGAAGGGTATGATGTGATTTTTATGCCAATAGGTACAATGGCTCTTCATCACAATACCACCAAGGTTACTGAGTTTATCCTCCTGGGCTTCACTTCTCAACGAAACCTTCAGCTCCTTCTCCTCAGTTTCTTCCTGCCCATCTACCTCCTTAGTGTGGCAGGGAATCTGGGCCTAGCCATTCTTATCCGAGCTGAACCTGCCTTGCACACGCCCATGTACTACTTCCTAAGCCACCTGGCCCTGATGGACCTGTGCTCCAGCTGCACTGTAGCCCCCAAAATGCTCCTGGGGCTCTTGAAAGGTTATGACACCATTCCCATCCCAGCCTGTGCCCTTCAGATGTTCATCTTTGCAGCTATCTCAGATGCCGAATGTTGTCTCTTGGCAGCCATGGCCTATGATCGGTATGTGGCCATCTGCCGCCCATTGCACTATGCAACTGCCATGCCACAGCATCTCTGTCATCTCCTTGTAATTGCTTCCTATGCAGCAGGGATGACCTCTGGAGCGATCCATTCCAGCATGGCATTCCGCCTGCCCTTCTGCGATGCAAATACTTTGGACCATTTCTTCTGTGATATCCCTCTAGTTCTGGCTTTGGCTTGTGCAGACACACAAATTAACCAGCTCTTACTTTTAGTAGTGTGTGGAATTATCCAGAGCATCACCCTGTTGATCATTGCAGCTTCCTATGGAATTATCCTCTGGACTGTAGGACGAACAGGATCACTTCGAGCTATGTCCACCTGCGGATCTCACCTTACAGTTGTGGGGGTGCTTTATGGAACCCTTCTCTTCATGTACCTACGGCCTGATGATACCTATGCCCCACAAACAGACAAGATGACTTCTGTCTTCTACACAGTAGCCATACCTACTCTCAACCCTGCCATATACAGTCTTCGTAACACTGAGGTCAAGCAGGCAGTCAAGAAGAGGTACAACAAGATATGTCATCAAACATAAAAGCAGCACAAGTACAAAGGAGGGAAAGAACATTCCCAACAGATTAGAATATCCTTCCTAGCCTAGTGTATTCCATGGACTCCATGGTTGCAAATTGTAGATCTGAAGATTATAGGAAATGGAATATAACACATCTAGAGGGTAATTATCAAATGTATCTAAGAAGAAATTCTGTTGAAACAGCAAGACCTGCTTCTGGATTTTTGTGGAAAAGGTGGAGAACTGAAGATGGCTCCGCTAAAAGCAGAGCTAATGACGACAGAAGAATGATGAGTAGACCATCTCTTCATAATTTTTCTCCAGAGAAGGAGAGGACTTGAGATTGCACAACAGCAATCTCTGGCAGCTTTAGAATTGTAGAAGATAAAAGAAACCCATCTTTTTGCTCAAACTATGGTTGATGTCTTTCTGAAGGACACTATATTTGCATACTTCCTTTTATAATCACTTTTGGAATTTGTCTTTAACTACTTTTTAGCTATTAGGACTACTGTGGCTAGATGGGAGAGGAAATTAATGACTGCCACTGTTGGTGTGGTTATTCTCAAACTTTGAGGAGGAGGAGGAGGAGGAGGAAGAAGAAGAAGGAGAAGGAGAAGGAGAAAGATGCAGAAAGTTTCATCTGACAAATAGTATTGGTATAGTATTGGTGTAGTGAAAAGAAAGTTCAGAACAGAATTCTAATTTCTTGTCATGTTTTCCATTCTATTTTTTTTTACATAAATAATTTAAATTTATTTATACTTACATTTAAGCTTCTAAGCACTTAAAAATAAGCATAGAACATTTTTAAATGAAAATAATAGTCTTCAGAAACTCCATAAGAGCCACATACAAAATCAAAAATTGTTTTGTACAGAATACAAGTTCGACTAATAAGCAACCTATAAATGTCAGAAATTATTTTTTAAAGTTTTATTTTTTTAACAGAGTTCAATAATAATTATTCAACAAAAACGTGTTGTCTGAGTATCTTATTCACTAATACAAATTAAATTCCTAATCCCTAAATCTTTTCTCTAACCATTGATAAAATAGGTCCCAAGTTATTCTGTTTCTTCTTTTTCTCTCAACCTTAAAGAAAGTCTGTCCATTTCCGCATAGTCCAGTATTTTTTTGATTATTTCTTCTTCTGGTGGTATTTCTTCGTTCTTCCAATATTGTGCAAATATAATTCTTGCCGCTGTTATCACATGTAGAATCAAATATGTACTTTGCTTATCAAGTTTTTCTGGCATTATACCTAGTAAAAAAATTTCAGGTTTATAGTCTATGTGTTTCTCTAACATTTTTTCTAACAAACTGTAGATTACTGTCCAATATCTCCTTGCTTTAACACATGTCCACCACTTATGATAATAACGGTTTGTGTTTACATTTCCAACATTTCTCTGACATGTTTTTAAACATTTTTGCTAATCTTGTTGGTGGCAAATGCCATCTATAAAACATTTTATATAGGTTTTCTTTGTATGAAGCTGACATTGTCAATTTATAGTTTCTTTCCCACAAACTTTGCCACTTTTCTAAGTCTATATTATATCCAAAATTCTTTGCCCATACTATCATTGTCTCTTTTACTTGTTCATCTTCCATTTTAAAATTTAATATGAAATTGTATATTTTTTTGATTAACTTTTCATCAGAAGTTAATAATGTCTGATCAAACATAGTCTGTTCTTTGTAAAATCCATACTGTTTAATATCTTTATCATATCTGACTTGCATTTGTAAATGTGACCACCATGTTAAATCGATGCCCTGATTTTTCCATCTTGCCTGGATTTTAAGTTTCCTTCAGAATGTAGAATATCTTTGCATGTCCATATTTTATCAAGACTCACTAGATTTGGATGTATGAATGCTTCCATTGTTGAAAGCCATCCTGGAATTTTCAAATAAATTTTACATTTTATTTTTTCCCAAGTTAATAATAATGCATTTCTAATTAGTGATTTTGGAAGTATTTATATATTTTATTTTTTCCGTACCATAGAAAAGCCTGCCAACCAAGTTGCAGGTCATGTCCCTCCAGGTACAGCAATCTTTTATTTTTAAGAGTTATCCATTCTTTTATCCATGTTAACACTGATGCTTGATAATATAAAACCCAATCTGGCAAGCCAAAGCCTCCCTTTCTCTTCAGTTCTTGTAACATTTTCAATTTAATTCTAGTTTTCTTTCCTTGCCAGATAAATTTTTGAATTAGAAAGTTTAAATCTTCAAAGAATTTTTTCTCCAGTTTTATAGGTATCGTTTGAAATAAAAATAATATTTTTGGTAATATATTCATTTTCACCGTAGCAATTCTTCCTAACATCGACAGTTGAAGATTCTTCCATTTTTCCAAATCAAGCTTTATTTGGTTTAACAATTTAATGTAATTATCTTCTTTTATTGTTTTTTTTTTATTGAAAATTTTTAAAAGTTTTACAATATAACTCCCCTCCTCCCCAAAACCCACCCTTCCCCACCCCCCTCCCCCCACCCGACTTCCCAGAGCCAATCACAGGGTTAACAATACAATAAATATACTCTGTCTTACATTATGTCACTATTAAATTAACAATTCTATAACATCCTTTAACTCTCTTCTAAACAAACGTATTAAACACTATAATTATAACATCTTATTACTAATTAAAAAGAAATAAACTACATTAACAATCTAAAATTTACTCAAAAACCAAATGAAACTTTTTAGTTCCATATTTATTCTCAATATAATCTATCCATCTTCTCCAAACCAAAATATATCTTTCTTGTGAGTAATCCTTCATGTAGGCAGAAATCTTAGCCATTTCTGCTAAATTTGAAACTTTAAATGCCCAATCTTCTATAGTGGGCAAATGTTCCGTTTTCCAGCATTGAGCTACTAATAATCTTGCAGCAGTTATCAAATTCAACATCAAATCCATTTCTTTTTAATCCAAATTTTCCATAATGCCCAACAAAAATAACTGTGGCTTAAACTTTATCTTTTTCTTAAAAATATTTTGAATATTCCACCATATCTTTATCCAAAATGCTTTAACCGCCCTACACGTCCACCACACATGAAAATAAGTTGCATCTAAATTTCCACATCTCCAACACTTGGGTTGTAAATTAGGATACATACGGGACAATTTTTGAGAATCCAAATGCCACCTATAAAACATTTTGTAAAAATTTTCTCTTAAATTCTGAGCTTGAGTAAATTTTACATTCCTAATCCAAATTGTCTCCCATGTTTCCAATAGGATCGGTTCTTGTATATTTTGAGCCCATTTTATCATACAATCCTTCACCAATTCTGTTTCCGAATCCAATTCAACCAATACACCATAAATTCTT